CCTATCAGTCAAATAAGAGGAAAACATTTGTATTGCAGATGATGAAAGTTGAAAAAAATCAACTTTTGTGAGAGAGTATAATGATCAACTGTGTCAAAAGCTTTACGAAAATCAATATATACATCAATATTATTTATTCTGTCAGTCAGATTATTGACAACAGTTTTAAAAGTTGTTTGGTTTGTTTTACAAACAAACCAGTCAGTTTGTGAAGGAAATAAAAAAATAAAAAATAGCGCAATGATTTTTACAATTAAGTTCAGTTATACAAAATAATCATTCACAAATACAGAAGTAAAAAATGCCTATATTTAAAATTTATGAATAACACTAGCACACTATATTAGTCAGAGTAAAATTTGTGTATTTGATATTAATATTGCAGAGCATGATATGCAATGTATGTTTGCACATAAAGTTTATAACAGTGACACACTGTAAATATAGTAAATATTTAGTACATTTTAGTAAAACATTATCTTACAAAGATTTTTTCAGGACATTAAATTTGTATTTTTATTGTTTTAATTAATTTGGTGCCATTTTAAGTTCAGGTTTTAAATTTTACATTAGGACCATAAAAGCTAAAACAATTAATTTTATCAAATGATTTTTCCCCACCTGCTACAGATTGATCGTATGAAGCAGTTCTTTGTGGCTGATGGCCTCCCTCACCTCATGTTTTACTATCAGGACTCTGAGCCAGCTGAAGGAGGTAAGCTAATTTAAAGTTTATTCATAAATGAATAAAATGTGTTCACTGTCTATTTTATTATTTGTCCTTGATGATAAACTTGTCAGCTGTCAAATATTGATCAGGATATTATTCTAAGTACTAAAAATGTATTTTAGCACTCTAATTTATGGAGCTGCCAGTGGGCAAAATAAAAGTAGAAGTCAGAGGAATCCATTCCCCCTGTTTAGTAAATTTATGTGCAGATTTGATGTCTACAGTATGTGTAGCAGGCTTTCAGTATGGACAAAAAAATGTAAACACAACACTGGAAATGAAACAAGGGTTTCAAGACATTGAGAAATTGCAACATGTAGTATTAAGTAAAAATAATAGTATTGTTTATGTTTTTGCTTAAATCACATCAGGAATTAATGAATCAGATGTTTTGTTCATGCCATTTCTATAGTTATTTTAAATTGTTCATGTTTTTATAGTCTCAGTGAACTTTTATTTTCTGTTACTTGATTGACAGTTTATTTGGTTTGACTTCCCTTATGGAAAAAAATACATGAACTTTATATTTTTTTATTCCTGTATGTGGAACACGTGTTTTTTTGCCATGATTTTTTTTTTAGAAAAGTTTGGATGTAATTACATGCAAATAGCTTGACATTCTAGAGGCAGAGAGAGGCATAGAAAAAAATGCTGCTCTGAAGTGTTGCTGTCACTCAACCTGCTGATGGGAGCAAAAGGAGAGGAGTTGCAGGATCAGAATCAGTTTATTTGTCAGTGTACAGAGCACAACAAAATTTGTTTTGGTACAACCCATCCAAGAAAGACAAAACACACATGGTTGACAGGTGCCTGAGGCTGCAGCCATTGAAAGGTGCTGCCTCCTTACATACAGACCAAAATAAATCCAAGTAGCCTACATCTTTTTAGGCTTTTAAATTTCAAAAGAATGTGACTTTGGAAGTTTAATTCCTAAAGAAGTCCTGCTATGGTGGTTTGACTTAAGAACCTGCAGCTGGGTGGTCTCTGAAGCTGCCTCAGCACCAACCGGCCCAGTTTTTCACGAGTCGGCGAGTAATGTTTCTGTCACTACTCCTCGTACAGAGGTTAAGAGTGTTTCTGTCCCCTCTCCCCTCCTCTGGTTTTTTTCTGAATGGACTGAGGTGGTCAGAACGTGTCAGTAATGTTATGGGGGATCTTCTGAAAGACCCTAGAATGTTGATATCCCAGTTTTCATAGCAGCCTTGTAGAAATTTGATGCATCACCACATGTGATTAATAAACCATTATGATTTTTAAATACTGTCACCACATTACAATATCGAGGTATACCATAGTACCGTCATACCACCCAAGCCTAGTTAATAAAAACATGGTAAATTCATGTTTTTATGTAAGGGTTTTAAATTAAATGCTCTACATTTTAGCCACCAAAACAAGGTGGTTTTTGTAGATTTAAAGGCATTTGATTGTTTGTTTCAAAGTTATTGATCATAGAAGTAAACAATTACACAACTCAACAAACTCAAACTGTATGTATTTTACTCAAACAGAAAAATATTTGTTAGTAAATCTGCAAACACTGATTTACTAAATTAAGGAAATAGGTTGCAAACCACGGATTTGAAATTAAGAAAACTGATTCTAATATCATCTGGTTTTATTTTAACCCAAGGCAACTAGTAGGCTATGGCATCATTGTTAGTTATCATATTTTAAGTTTTTTTTCCTCCATTATTTACTTCAGCAGCTGCAGCTTCAACAGCCTCCCAGCTTGATTTTCAGCAGCCTGGTGAAAAAAAGAAAGTGTTCGTGACAGATGGTAGAGATGTGGCATTGACTGGCATGTGCGTCTTCTTCACCAGAGCCGACACTTCGAAGGCGCTAACCTCTGAGAACATACACAGAGTGAGTCTTTTTGTTCTGTTCTAGTAAAAGCATAAAGTCTTGGTCAGTTTTTTTCAAGTGAGAGTAGACTGGTTGGGATGTTGAATGAATGAATGAATGAATGAATGAATGAATGAATGAATGAATGAAAGATAAATAAATAAATAAAGATTAAGACTAATTATTGAAATTTTAGTTGTGAAAAAAAGAAGCCATCAATTTAGAATGTATTCAGCTGTGACTGTGCAGAGTGAGAGACGAGAAAAAACACATCAGGTAAAGGTTTCACAAAAAAAAAAAAAAACACTTTTAGCCTTTACATTATATAACAATATTACAACAAGAAATAAATGATAATGCATTCTTTGGCTGTTCTAAAAATTCTCAGGCATGCAGGTCAACCTCATCATTTTGCAGCCAAAAACATACACAGCATGATCGGCGTCTTTTTTCTGTAGTTGTGCTTCTAGACAGCCTAGTAGAGTAAATATATCATGCTTTAAAACCTTTTAAAGACATATTTTTCAAAAACAGTTCTCTGGGGTGAAAGAGAATTTTGCGATATTTGTTTGCCAGTATTTTCCTGTTTGTTAGATAAATAGGATCCATGAAAACTTCCTGCATCTGAACTGGGACGGCAGGCGAGTTCATCAATAGTTCTGTGATATCACCAGCAGTCCTGTCTATTAATTGTAGCTGCCCTCCTGCTGCAGGCAGGAAAGTTAATCACTTCTACTGATAACAGGCCATGTTTTCTACAAGTCACAGTAAAAATAAAAAAGGCAGAATGGAAAGCAAGTGTGATTTGGGTTGAGGCATGGCTGCTTTTTTGCTCACCTTCAAAGAATATCCAAAATGTATTGTGGTTCCTATATATTTCCCAAGCAAAAATGGTATTTATAGCTTGACTTAAATTTAGTTTTTCTACCGTAGCACCACGTTAAAACAAAACCACCATCATCACTAACCAAATGCTCATAAAAATCAATATAACTAAAACTGGTGAGCAGGGTAGGAGCCACAGCAGATAAACAAGGAGTGAGGGGGAAACATGATAGTTTGATCCCAGCTGAGGGTGATTAGGAAAGTAGATATCAGTGTGCTAATTGGAAGCAGGTGGTGAGTGGCAAACTGGGGATGAGAAATTAACTCAGAATTTAGGGAAATAAAAAAACATCCATAACGAACAGACATCTAAACTGACTTTAGGTCTGACTTCAAAAAGACCACCAACAAACACTATCACATCTGTGGTTCTGCTTGACTGACTGGTGTTTTGTGGGAGATGCTGAAGACACTGAAATTATGTTAATAACTTCTCAGACAACTATAAAAAGAGATTTAGAGTGGACTCCAAGTCTGTAACATTTTATGAGGCAGATATTAAAAATGTTAGAGTTCATTCTGCTAAATGGTGAAAGTGGTCATATTTTCTTTGACATCAAGCAGTATAGATCATGGGATGTCTCACAATTTTTAGTAATATCTCTAGATCATGTAGATTTTTATTTTGTAGGTCAGCTTCCAGTCCTGGCACTTAAGGGCTACTATCACTTGTCTACTTGCTCCAACACATCTGATTCAGTGATTGAATGACCTCTCCAAGTCCTGCACAAGTTTATTAATCACATGAAGGATAGTGGCCATCGAGGACCAGTGCATCCCAGTTGGATTTAATAGAAATCTGTAGTTATGATGATTGTAAAGTTTTATTCTTGGCTAGGCAAATGGCTCAGTTTTCACAACTAAATTTTCTAATCAACATAAAAATAGCAATATTTAAAGTCAAATAGATGCAATGGTATGAAGGCCCCACATACTCGGGACATACTGTGTGCAGTTTGTGAGCTACGTGGACTCCGCGCATATTGTCCACGGATGTTTGAGACTTCATGCTTGAGTGTACTGACCGCCTGACAAATTCAGTAATTTTTCACAATTTCAGTCATGATGTCAAGGACAAAGAGGAAGAGCTTGCATTTAAGCTTAAAAACAACAACTCCACAGAGTGAAGTATGCCCGAGTATGTGGGGGCCTTGAGATGCATCATAGAAACAATGGGCCTCATGCAAGAACCGTTCGTACGCACAGATTTGTTCTTAAATTGTGCGTACGAGGGATKTAGGAGAATTTGTGGCATTCACCAATGTTTTCGTATTCTAAGATTTTTTTCAGATACGAACAAAATTTACGAGTGGTCCAGACCTGTCGTATATTTTACGAGCAGTCAGTCTGCTGTTATCCAGACGGGTTTTCTTCACTAATAACTTTATATTATAACGGGATGGTGCGCAGTGCTGCGGCTTCTGAATAAATGAAAATGATTTAACACAGTTGTTTATACTTTTAGCAGTTCTTTTTTTTTCATTTTTAGCTGACCTGCTAAAAATGACAGATTTTCTTTTCTGGATCTCTGACAGACTGACTTCAATCTCTGAACTCGTAAAGTTCTTGTT